TCTTTCCCTGATAACTGTAAATAAGCTTGAAGAGAAGATGCAACCTTGACAAGAACAGATCCTGTGATAAATTTAAAGGAGAGCTTATTAATGCAAAGAAATAAAAAGTACTTGAGCCTATTATAAAAAATGATTTAACAGGTAGCATTGCTCCTGATACACTGTCTTTACTCATCAGCTTATTTTATTTAAATAGCTGTACCTTTTCCTTACTCCCAGGTACTCCCAAGGCATTCACAGTATCTTCTGTCAAGAATATGAGTCATTAGGACATCATGAACTACTATTTCTCTTTTTGCCAATAGCCCTAATCAGATCATCCAATACCAGAAAAGTGAAGAGTTTAATACACATGCAGCTTATAGACAGAATTTACCATTAATTGAGCATTTACTAAGAGCCAAACACCTTCATTATATTATCTTTTAATCTCTCTCTCAACTTTATGAGGTATTATTATAATTCCGATTTTACAGATAAGAACTTGCTCAAGTTTCCACTACAGCTACTGCTGGAATCAAGATCCATTTCAATGACAACAAACCTATGCTCTTAACCATTGTCGTGTTTCATACACTGCTACCTCATTGTATTACAGGACTTGTAACCTCACTGATCATTATAATACAACCAGAACCCTGAGCTCTTGTGCTTTCAGTGGTACCTTGTTTGGTTGGGGGTGTGTAGAGGGTGATAACAAAAATTTAAAACGGAAATATTTAAATTTCAACTGACTAACGTTTCTTTTTAATGGATTACAGACTTTTTGGGTACCTGAAGCAAGACACTCAACTTTATTTCATCTACAATCTTACAATAATTCAACTTCTAAAGGACGAAATAAGAAAAATTACTCTTGTTAGGAAGGAATCATTTTTCAAAACAATTATGTGGTTTGCAGCGCAAACTCACCAGTACACTCCTGTTTCAAGAGTTTTTCTTTCTCTATTTCTCATATATCAAATAAATGAGAGGCCTTTCCCATAAAACAGTAACTCCAACTCTGTGGACCAAGACGGTCAGGATGACATCCATTGTGAATGTTGTAAAGATTCCTTTTAGAAGGCATTTATTTATGGGTCTTTGTGTGCTTTCTAGTTTGGTTAACATCAGCTTAAGTTTCACTAAATAATTCCACATCTTCTCAGCCTTTCTAATGGGAGCTGGAAATCTGGAGTTAAGACTGATGAAGTTTCATATTTACTACTCAAAAAGGGGGGGAACAAAGCACATAAATACAATCGGTTTATCTTATTTAAAAAACAAATTGCTTTTCAGGGTTTAAATGTAAACTACTAACAGGAGTTGCCCATAAAAACAGATATGAGAGCTTTAGGAAAATACAAAACAAAAACAAACCTGGAAAATGTCAGGAGGAACAGAAGATACATGTTTTTTCTACCAAACATACTTTAAAAAGTAGAAAATAACAGATTTTAAAAACTTCTTCTAGGATATTACCTCTACATACATCAAATGTAATAATTTTATGAACATCTTTCTTTTCTGTTCTTAAATAAGGGATCTTAAATCTGTCAGAGTTTTAAAAATGTTAAGCAGTGCAGATAGTTCTATCCCCATCTCTCTCCACATCCTTAAAAAGCAAAAACTATCACTATTAAAACTCCATTCCTATTTATTAATGAAGAATTCTCATGATTTGAAAGCTTTCCCAAATGTCCCATCTCTAAGACTATCTTCTTTAGAAAAGAGAGCTCCTGTATGTCTTCAACCTCTTTTCACTTCAAAAACTGCTTCACGGTTATTGACATCAATACCATTTTTAAAAAATTAAAAAGTGAACTAATACTAACAACAGCATCATTAATTGAAGGGATACTATATATTAAGATTAGTGGCTTTATCAAGGACAATTTTTAAGTGGAAAAGTCAGTACTCAGATGCAGTTCTGACTCTCAAGCCATAACACAGCCTTTCTGAATGAATGAATAAGGTCACTATGTTAAGTTTCATAGGAAGAGAGGAAACAAGCATTGTGACATTCTTTTACACTTGACAAAATGGCCATAGGAGCTGAAAGGACAGCCTAAGATACTCAAATAGCTGGCTCTTAAACCCTACAGCAAGACAGTGGCAGAGTTGGAAAGGATTCCAGATGTCTTTACTATTAAGCAATAGAATCCTGAATAACTTTCCATCACTCCAGAAAGTTACTGTTCCCAAGTGTAGTGAGAATTAGAGACCTGAATTAAGATAGAAATCTTTTGTTTCCAGTTATCTTTAAGCTCCTGCCAGTATCATGGTCCCAATAGGAGAAAACACAAAATTGTAATCCCAATCAAATCTTATAACATCATATGCTATTTTAATAAGTTACTGGAACAATAATCCAAATAATAGTTAAAAATAATTAAAGTGGATGAAGATTAGCAATGCTTTTTGTTTGTTTTGTTTTACTTTTTTGCCCATCCATACAAAACAGGAAATAATTTTCATGTAAGAGCTGCTATTCAAAACTTTGTTTTTACTCTGTTACTAGTTACATTAAATGTAGTAATGTTCATTCTCCTTGGGTCTTCATAATACAAGAATGCAATTATATGACTTTTTTTTTTGACATTTACAAAATACCCTGAATAGTATTATTGAAGTTCTTAGAAATTTAGTGAGAACATAATATTATCCTATTTAAAAGGAAAAAAAAATATGATCTTGAGAAATCAAAAAATACCTGTGTCTCAGCAATAACTTCAGTTTCAGACGTCTGTGTTTGTAGTTTTATCTTGACATTGACAAGAGAGCCTCATTGGGCAAAAAGCTATTAAAAAGTTTTAAAACTTTAAATTTTAAAGTATTTAAAATGTAAACTTTAAGGTTTAAAGTATTTAAACTTTGCCAACATGGCAAAGAAATTACTAACAGCAGGAACAACTGGTCTCTGTGGAGGTTTTTTCCTTGTTATACACATATGCAAGAGCTTCCAGACTTTCTCTAAAAAATTTTTTATACAGAGCTATGGTTCTTAACTTTCTGAACCCAGGTCACGTAAGCCACTATAGCCAAGCTACTCCAAGTACCCAAGTCACTTGCCAGCATGCACGTGTACATCTATGTGCATGCATGCACGCAAAGACTTGTATATTCAGCCTTCAGATGATTAAAAAGTGTGTAATTATTAATGAAAGACTTGGACTCTTAGAATAAGCTATTTGTATTAGAAATAAGATTACAGAAAGAGACACATCATAAGCCTGATACTATAAGAGACTAAGTCAATAATCACTTTAGAGGATCTTTTGGTGATACCTTTATTGCAGGATCACGCTTTTTAAAGTATTACTCTAGAGTAATGGCCTGAGAAGGTCCTCTTACAAGTTAGCAGGAAAGCTTCCAAAAAAATGTATGAGAGCACTTTCCCTCCAAAGAATATTCTATTTCCGACATTAAACTGAAAAACCCAAACACTAAAACTAAAAAATTCCACAATAACAGTCAATAAATTACAACAGTTTTGTTTGTATTACAAAAGGAAAGATAGTCTTCATGGCCACCTGTTCCAAAAGTTTCAAAGATCACTGGTCTAGAGGGCTAGTATTCCAGTCTTTAAATCAGGTTCTAACAGAGAAAAATTTTATTGAAATCTCTATGTCAGTGTAGATAAGATAATTTGACCATCTGTTTCCTGAATGTTACATAAAACCTTTCTTACACCATATGTCAAAATAAAACATTCTACTTGGCTAACCTTTATGGGATTTCAATTCCACTTTTCCCAGTTGGCTGACATAAACATCTATGGCACCCTGATAAGTTGAGGCACTTAGACATCCAGAAGACGAATCTAGGAGGAAGGAAGAACCATAAGCATAATCGTCTTATTTGAGTAACTGAAATTATAAACTTGAAATAAAAGGCTCTACTTCAGCATTAGGATAAGGAGCTAAGAGTCCTACAAGGTTTTATATTTTCCTTATAACTATACCATCTTTTGCTTTAAAATGAAAATAGAATCAGCAATCTAGAAATCTACAGCTGGATAACTAATAAGAAAATCCCTGCTTGTAGTAATCTCCAAAACTTAACTCTAAACATGTTTACTCTAAAACCTAATGTGTAGGAAGGACAGTACACAAGCAATGACAGCCAAGACCATTAAGCACCACTGATACATTTAGTTTATTATCAACTTTCAATATTTACTAAAGAACTCTGTTTCACGTACAGTCACATATAAGTAGTAGCGAAGTTAACAAAAATCAAAACTCTTATATTTTCTCCTTTTAGCAAATTTGCTAGTACTAAAAAGTGTGGCTAATAGTGAAAGATTACTCTAGATTAGGTTTTGTTGCATTTCTTAGAGGGACAGAGATGGGAGGGAGGGAAGGAATGACCTGAAAAGTGGGTGAAGCTTGTTAATATCTAAATATTTCAAGTTTCTGGAATTGAACAGATTATCTTTAAGTCAGGGGAAGAAAATTACAATTAAGGTGGTCCTGATTTGACACTCAAATTTCCCTATGTCAACAATGAACCCAGTTTTCAATCAGCCAACATTTCAAGTTCCAGGGAAAGCTGACAGTCAGATAAACAAGAGAATTATGTTGAAGAGTCAGTGCTAGGTAGCTTCTCCTTTTTCCTCCTTTCCCACAGCAACAGAACTTTCAGTTCAATATTCTATCTGATTGCCCTGAAAAGAGCAAAGCATATTTTTTTAGAGAGATCTCTTAAAAAGCATATTTTATCAGGAGGTTTTATTACTTCAAAGTAGAAACCAAGTAGGGAGTATGGTGAAAATAATGCCAAAAATTACATTGTACTTTTTGCAAAATGTGAAGGAAAAAACATTTGTACACTCACAAAGGAGCCAACATTCTTCTTTACAATCAATGTTAAATGACTCTAAACAAAGATAAAAACTTGCGAAGAAACTGTTTAAAATGTGACTTCAGGATAATTTATAATAATTTATCTCTAACCTATAATCAAAATGCCATTTATCAGATCCAGTGTATTTAATTTTTAAGTGTCAAAACCGAACACTGAAGCTGGGCAGTTAAGTCACTGGATATAAATGACAGAATAGCTGGACAAGGATGAGTATTTCTCTTCTCAGGCACCAATAGAAACTCCTTTAAAAATCTCTTACTACATCCTAAATAAGTCATGTAAATATATATTACGGTAAAATAATGTGAACTACAAAGTGTCTATTATCCCAAATTGAACAAAGTAAAATATTTGAAACAACAGTTTAATTTCTTGCTTTCTCTAGGGGGAAAAACCCACAAGATTTTTATATGGTTCATAAACAATACTTTTTATTTCTTTTCCCCTTCACATGGGACATAAACAACACCTAAATAATTATATCCTAAGCCACTAATTAATTACATCCTCATGTTATCGGTCTTGAGCTCTAATTATGGACCATCCACTGGAGGCTGTCAAAAAAATTAAAACTCAAGATGTGTTTTCAAAAGAGAAAGCAAACGTGGTATTTTAAAAGCTACGTAGCAAGACAAATACTAATTTTCTTTTGTATTCTATAATACAAATGATTGGAAAGAAAAATTAATTATCAAGAGTCAAATTAAGGCTTCATTCACAGAATTTCATTTTTTGGAGACTCACAAAACAGAAAAATTCTATTATAGCTCTTGGAGGAAGACTTAAGGGAAATATGCATTAGAGATTAAGAAGTAAACAGAAAATTATTAGTCCAGACAGTGACTGGAATAAACTCCCACAAAGAGTTTTCTATCACCACAATTTTGGACAAAGATTTTGTTCATCTGACAGAGACCACTGAGTTTTCCTGGAAAATTACACAGACAAAAGAGAAAAACTGATGTCAACTACCAGCTAAAACTATATATAACCAAATGTATAGATATTTGTGATAAATACTCTGCTATTAAGCAAAGAATAAGAGCTAAGCTCAAAAGGCTAAAATTCCAAACTTTTCTATTTTCCTTCAGATAAAGGGAGAATTCTCTTGAAATTGTTCAAGCATGTTCAGAAAATTCTTCTGAATTTTTATAATTTCACCTCAAGTGTCAACATGTAGATAACTAAGGAACAGCAACACAAAAGATATTTCTTGATTTCTGCAACTTGATTCCTACACTTCCAAAGCTACACTAATTGCAAGAACAAGGAACGAATTTTATATATAGGATGTAAAGGATTTGCAAAGGCAGAATTTTAAGGTCACTTCAAGGAAAGTTTTCTAAATTAATGTCCTGCTTAGGTATTCTATGTTAGGGAGACAGCATATAGGAGGCTGGGCTTATGAGAGACACACAAGGCAACCCCTACTGCTCCCCACACCCCCCAAAAAAACCTATGAAGATATTCTTTTTTAAAAGATATAATTACCAGTATACAGCTTTTGGCAGTGCCTTCCAAAAGAGGCAACATAGGGCAGGGAAAGTAAAGCTGGGTGAGCAACTTCTATTTCACCATTATCTACTATCAAGCTCTGCTTTCTCCTGTTGACTTTTTTTAAATGGAAGATGACCAGGTATTCCAGAAGAAGATATTTTTAAAAATATGAGTCTAGGTAAAATCAGGGTTTTGATATACATAATCAAAATTTTTATAGCACTTCAGCTTCTAAGAGACCTCTAAATGTATTATGGAAATTAGGAAGAACAGGGTTTTGGGATGTAGGTTAGAATGTATTTACAAAATCCAAGTGACTGATGAGATTACCTAAGAAGCTAATCAATTATATTATCTCAACTAGAATTAAAGAACCATAATTATACATATTCTTCTTAAAGGAATCATGGAGGTGACACAATCCATTTTCCTGAAATCAGATAGTATAATACCTAAATCACCTCTAGTCTCATAATATTCCAATTTGATACTATTATATGGCCTTTTCTCTATATCCATTCCAATATTTTGAAGCCTCTGCTAATCTAACAAACTTCCCGCTCAGGTACCTAAATCACTTTTTGTTTCTTTGTAATTGTTTTGCTTCTACTGATCTCAATTTCTCAAAATCCAAGTTACTCAATTGACTTTAATTAGGGTGTCATGATTTGCAGAGTTGCCTTCAACTTTCTCCAGCAGATCTTTTACTCTAAGGAAAACACAAACCAATCAATCAAGAAATTTCAAATAAACATTACCCACTTGTCATCTTTGGGATTAAGGCATCAAACCCCAAATTTCTCCAGATTCATAACAACAATGGTTTTTAGACTCTACAGCAGGGTTGCCAAATTAGAGCCCCCTCTTGTTTTTCTTAATAAAGTATTAATGTAACACAGACACAACTATTTGTTCCTATATTGTCAATGGCTGCTTTCATGTAAAGTGAGAGAGGTCCATAGTACAGATAGACCGTGTGGCTCACAAAGTTTAAAAATTTTACTATCTGGCCTTTTATAGATAAAATCTGCTGCTCCTAGAGCAAAACATTTTGTTTTGAGTTTTTCCCCCCAAAAAACAAAATGTAAAATTTGATTCTATTTAAGACAAAGAGATTTACGAATGAAACCAGCCCTTTTTTCTAAGGCTTCAGTAATGTACACAGATAGGTATACAATTCTTGCTTATAGAAATGAAAAAAGTTGTCGTCTTAAGGTAGTTCAAGCTTTTCATTGACCCTGATTGCTTACTGTTTTCTAGGGGTAATAGAGTTGCTTCCATCCAATTTACTAAAGTGAGAAATAGCACATCACCAAGTAGATAACTAGGACTTTGCTGACTTGCTTAAATATTATGTCAACTTTCTGTTTATTTGTTTAACCTCTTAAGCAGTATGCTATTATTAAACAAAAAATTTAGCAATGTTTTTTGACTTATGAAAGAGCTCAAGTGGGTTCTTGAAAAATTGTATGGCATCTCCTGACCTAGTTGTCAGCAGAAATGGGATGTATTCCCACAAATCAGTGACTTAGGTCCAGATATATTCAAAGGAAGAAACCTATCACAGGATCTAAACAGCTTTGATTTCTATATAAATGTTGGATGATTTCTGCTGTGCTCCTCTCTCACTTCCTCTCCCATTCTCTTTTCCTCCCTTCTTTTTCTGAATTAATGCTTGATATGAAAATATACATAATATTTTGAAATGATAGTACAAGGTTTTACTCTTTTTTATTCATTTAATAAAATGTCAGGAATATCTTTCTATATTGTATACTATAGAGCTAGGTTATTGTTATTGTTAAAGGCTGAGTAATATTCACTTTATGAATGTACCATACTATAATTATTCTCTTACTGGGAACAACTTAAAATGTATACTCTCTTTTGCTATCATAAACAAAGAGATAAATGCCCTCATGCATATATCTTTATATCCTTACCAGATTTTTCCTTGAGATAAAGTTCTAAAAGAGGAAGTGCTAGAGCAAAGCAAATGTAGATACTTCCAATTCTGATATACGTTTCCAAACTGACCTACAAAATGGTTGATCAATTCATACTTGAACTAACAACTGATAGGAATCTCTGTTTCACCATAACCTTCTCAACAATGGATATTATCAATGTTTTAAATCATGACTGTTTATATTTAGATGTTTTGGATTAGCAGTAAGGTGGAACAACATTGTACATGTATATGGACTATTTCTCCTGTGAACTGCTTGTTCATGTTTATCCATGTTCCCATCCCACTGATTGTTCCTTTTCTTCTCAATTGTTGTACGTACATCTGGATGGAGATTTTATATATATGTATCAGATATCTTTCTAGTTTGTTACCTGTCTTTTATTCTGGTTTATATATATATATATATATATATATATATATATATATATTTTTTTTTTTTTTTTTTGGGTGCGGTACGCGGGCCTCTCACTGTTGTGGCCTCTCCT